CGGGATTGGGGCTGGCACGTGCATGTAGATTAAGTCCCCGAAGTTTCAGCCCCGCAGCTTTTACAGGTCTTGAGATGAAAGTGCGTGACAGACGCACGCACAGACACACGGACACACAGACAACCCCCGTCAATATGCGTTTTTGCATTGCATAGCTGCAAAAAACGCATAAAAATTATGAAAAAAGCTAACGATTCTAAAGAGTGATGAAAATAAGCTTTAAAATCTGGAAGTGTAACGCTTGACAGAGTGCCTAAGGGCGCGAAATCTACTTGGCAGGGTACTGTTGGAAGACGTCTTGTGTGAGAAGCTAAAAAAGCACTGAACAAAACGCCTTTATTAGAACAGCAATAAAATACACTACCAAAACCAATATGTTTTATAAATAATGCAAATCGCCCCACAAGTACGGTGGATTCATCAAAGCCAAGTAAGTTGCGCAGCTTTTTTGAACTGTATCGATGGCGCTATGCGAGAAATGTCTTATCCAAACCGGAAACAAACCTCGCCCTTTTTCGGAAGTCATTTTCTTCCTTGAAAGACAGTGGCGCGTGCACCGATTGTGGCGCCGTGAAACCAACATTGCAGGCGAAACATCAAGTAAAAGTAACTGCGGCAACTGTCGCCTTCATTTTGGATAAGGTGACAGGCTTTCTCCTCTGACCTCAGCAGCGACCCGAATCTCCATCGGAAAAGGTTAACGCGAAAATTAATTGGCTGAGCTTAATTCCACAAAGATATGCGAAGTTTAAACAAAATGGAACAAAATTTTAGCTAAAAGAGTGCAATGAAATACCAAAATGTGTTGAAACAAGAAAAAAGCTGAATTCAGAAGAGCGAAAATTTAGCAAGCATATAGTAAAAAGATGATAAAATTCAATCAAATATATGGACGAAAACTATCAAAAAGACTAATTCGGCCAAGAAACGACAAAACTAAGTACGCCACTTTTGGACGCAATTTATAGTTTTGCAAACGCCAAATTCATGCCCTGTCTCCAGCACTCGAAGCCACCTTCGTCCGTTCCACCTTCACCAGTGGTTGCGTTTCGAGCCCGTATGTCACTGCTTTGATGTTGCGAAACTGAGCAGGAGCTTATATCTTTTCTTGCCGACATAAAACACTACAACCGGCCGCAGTGCACCAACTTTTCCCGCTTTAGGTTTGCGTTGAAGGATTGCCATAACACAGAGGGAACCAAAAAATTGTAACCAAAAAAAGGACGGCTTTGGAGAAGTGGATGTAGTGCTGCTCTCAGGCTGAAGTTGATGATTCGATTCAGTCAATAGGACAACTAAGATTCATTTTAAAAGCACATGCCAGGGGATTCAAACCAGGATCAGCTCGCTTCTAAAAAACTCTCCAGGGGTAGAAATTTGTTGGTAATGGTTGGTGTCTGCAGTATTTACTACATGGGCTATTTTCTAGTACCTTCGCTTTCATATACAGTGTGGGCCGATGACGGATTTTGTGAAATAGCTGGGCTCAAGTTCCTGGATAACCATACGAAGATGAGCAACAATCTTGTACTTTGTCATCTGAATTCACCTCTCACAGCTGAGGAAAAGTGCCGCCTGCATCTAAACAAAAAAGGAAAACTACATGAAATTGTCCTAAAGTGAAACAGCTGATTAAAGTCCCTTCTACGCGATCTTGGTATTCTTGATACTGTAACTCCTCCAGCGGGCACTGCATAGGGGCAGTTTGTTAGCTAAGACTCGAAAGTTCGACTCCATTGAAGTACTGGTGACTAGCCGGCCTGATCTATGTCCACCATATTGTAGTTACAACTTTAATAGGAATATAAACTGTATTAAAGATAATTACACAAAGAATTACACAACCCAATCTGCTCATTTCCACACGAAATAGCGAAGTTTTTTGTAATTTTCAGAAATCTGCTCCCTTCCCTCCCCCTCCCCCCCCCTTCAGTTTACCGCTACTCACTCTTCAATCCAGCCCAGTCAAGAAAAGTTTTAGTAACTACACATGCTAAGTTAAAGACCAAATTCCAAGCAAAACAGGACGTAAAAAATCGTTCACGACCCGCAAGAGCAATTTATAAGCCATAAATAACAGATACGATAAATACGAAACAGTTAAATTCGGTGGGAACTATTTTGGCATCCGGAGCGTAAAACCGGATATACAGCATCGTATCACGGGGCACTTATCACAGTACAAAACACTGAAAGCAAAAAATGGCTGTGATAAGAATCAAACGAATGTCTTGCCTCTTGCCAGTACAGGAAACAACACGAAAGGATATGCTCGCAAACAAAAATCATCTAGGGACAATTCACAGACCACATATCCGCACCTGTATTTATTCAATCCATATATTCATTGCTGGTCTTATAATTCTTTGCTGATCAATTTTCTGATGAGTTGTGAAATTTACAAATACAAGGCAGGAATGAAATGAACAGTACTATAACTTCAAGCAATCTTTACAAAGCTGCCACTCACAGGAACAATACAGTTTCTCAAGAACAGGATAGATTCACACTTAAAATAACCCATAGTAATTTCAAAAATTCATAAGTACTAAGGAATACAAGGAAAAAATCGAATGGTGTGGAAGATCTCACGAGTTCTCGATTACTCCGGAGGTGGACTCGCC